TATAAATCGCATCAAATACGTTACCAATCCCCTTCATTTTTGCTAACGATTAATTATTTCAGCTTTTTGGTTTTAAAATTTCATCATATCAGTTTATCATTTTAAGCAATGTTCATTATCAACTAATTAACTAAATGACTTCAACTAATGAGCAGTGAGACAACGATTGAATTATTAATTTCAGTTTTTAATTTAACATAGATTTTGTTATATTCAGAAATTCGCCGATGAATATTTGACGAAGAAGCAGCAACATGAAATGAAGCAACTGGTACGTGAAGCTCGAAGCAGCGGGGCTGATCTAGATGAGGTTCGTCGAGTTGTGCTGCGTTACATCAACTCGGTACTGACCAAGCAACAAAAAAAGCAGATTACGGCAAACAGCGAACAGCTGAAACGCGAGTTCAGTGATGATAGCCTTATCAATGCTTGATATCGTGCTTTTGAAGCGTTTTTCGATGAACTTCTTCGAATAAATCAACGAAATAATTCTATGTTCTTGGTGAATTTTTTACCAAACCTGAAACTATGCATTGAGCACACTCAAATGTAAAAATATGTCAAATTGAATATTACGCAAAGCTTCCTTACAGTTGCTCAAAATCGCTCATTTGAACAAACATTCTTTTATTATTTAGTGATAACTTCTGTTATGATCACTGTTATGATCACTATCACAACATTTGATGCTGATTAGTCGATTAGACTTTTAACAGTTTGTGATTATGTACATATAGCGAGAATTTCTTAACAAAGACTTAACCTAACGGAGCAAGAGGGGGAGAGGACGGTGAAGAGAGATAGGGACTAATCCAACCGTAAGAAGTCTCTCTGTTCAAGTTTCTACCCAACCATACGGCTATATAAGCTGTATCCTTCCGATGACTGATCCTATGCAGGGATCTATCGCGAGTAACTAATAAACTAGAAATCGTGAACTGTCACATGTAACAAATTCAGCTATAATAGATTTCGAATCTGTCCACTTGACTAAATTCATCGCATAACTGAAGAATAAGATGTATGACTGAATTAAACAATAGATACATTATAGTGGTGAGGAATACGAGATGAGCGACAATCAAGGAATCATTTGCACTTTTAATTACTAAACACTGATGTGCACTCGATCGTTGAATTGGGAGTGAGCATTGAATTCAATTTAACGTCAAGATGAGAAGTGAAGTGAATAATTTCCGGTAGAACTTTTTGTTAATTAAATGAACTCATGTAAAAGGTAATTAAGTGACATACGCTTTAGCTGGATGTGTTACATATTCGATTGTCATTTATCGCTGGCGGTTAGTCGATTTCGTTTGTTCGGTTAGCATGGCAAACAAAGAAAACTTTCACCTTCAGGATGACGATCATTAAGTGAAAATAGCGATCAAATTCGATTGCAGTGATTAAAGTTAATCGCTTGAGTCTATTTTTTTGTGGCAATTGTTCTGATTCGAAGTAAACGCTCATAAGGCTCATGCATGGATTTGTTGTCAATCCATCGATAAAAAACGAAACTTATGTTGAAACATGATACATCTGATGCATGACGTTTGATTCATAAATAATAATCATAGTTAATCATCAGTGCAATGCATCCTCTGTCATTTCAACAACCTAAGTGAATGAAATAAACTTTGTCAAAATTTGTCAAACACGAGCTTCAGTCTATGAAATATTAATCGCTTCGATAAACCACCATTTGAGCTATTTCATTTCGGATTAATTTCTGTCATAAATCATTGTTCGTTACCTAATTGTGTGCCAAACTTTTAAAACTTTCGGATATGAATTTGATCTGAGCATTTTTTTTCAACATTCATATTGAGGTGCGATTTCAGTGAAAGATTTTTCTCGTTTCAATTATTGTGAAATGGCCTGAACGAAGTCGAGTGGCTTTATTATGTGAATTGTTTTTGATACAATCGTCATATGTCACATCTAATACCTTTTAACGATCGTCATTGCTTAACATTCTCAGATTCAAGACATTCTTGTTTTATATATGAGAATGTTCAGCTGGTCGAGTCGACCAATCTCGAACTCACCTTTCGAGTATTCGTACCATACAGATAGATAGTTGTTGGTTTGGATATGAATTTCTTTGCGATAGATCTCATTTCAGCAATTTATTTTGCAAATTGCTTATTTCACATGAAACATTTTCCAGAAATATTATAATTGCACCACCTCTAACTTATAACTAGTTCAGCACTATATTCAACGAAATGCTTTCGAAACACCCGCATCATCTACTGCTCATTGGTATTATTCTATTGCAAATCATTTCGGTCATGTCTCTAACGCAAATTCGATCTCTTCAACACCTAAACAAACTTCTAAACGAACCTCAACAACCACCGTACTACGACGATTCCTTCATAGAAGAGTTTTTTAAATCACGGTTNAAATTTTCAGTCGTTAAGTGATAATCATATCTTATAATGATCGCTCAATACTATCTCTACACAGTGCCTGGCAGATCAACGAAGTTGAATGAAACCCTCTAAATGAATTTAAAATTAACCTGTGAAGCATCAAAATTTCAGCATTCCCAATCGTAATCCTCTGAGCAAACGATCGAGTTGTTTTCTGAATGCTGGTTTATCTCAGGGATGTGATATATCCGATATGCTATATGCTAAATTACAGGTGATTGTATTCTTGATTCATTGCATTGTTCATTCCTCCGCTGTTATTTGCACATAGACTATTGCATTTTGCTCAATGAACAATCTGTAATTCAGGCTAATAAATTGAATAGCTTCGCGGGACCAGGACGACGTAAATAAATGGTTGATGAAGGGAAGGATTTTGATAAACAGTGAATATTACTTTTAACATAATCTTATGTGTATCACTTTGTATTTCTTTTAAGCGATGCATTCAGATTCATTAAAAAATGTCGGGTAAACATTGAGTGGATTGACTTATTCGCCGCTTATTATACTGAGTAAATTCGATAAATATGATCATATTTCCGGTTGAATGCTTTCTGACTTAAGCATTACATGCATCGCTTTCGTTGCATTTGTTATAATTAAAAATGCACTCAAAAGCAAAAAATGTACCGCATTCATTTCACGATTAATGCCTGACTCATGCCTCTTGTTATATGGATTAGATCAACGTTTCAACTGGAATGTTTCGAGAATCTTGGCTAAAGAACACCAGCAAATTCATGCTTGAACAGTTTTTACAAGTTGTGTGCTATCGCCTTCAAATGAAATTCTGTTTTAAATGAATAAAAAAATTAATGGCAGACGTTATTCGTCAACATGTAATTTATTCATAACAACACGTTGCCTTATGGGAATTGAATTTATAACTTATTCAAAAGAATTTCATCAATTTATTGTGTTTATGAAATGAACTTTAGCATTGCATTCATAGTCCGGTAATTGCGAATAATTAGTCACTACTTATCCTATTATTCATTTATGCTCGTAGCTCATTAAATGCTGCACTTGCTGTTGCTTTGATGTTAAGTGAGAAAAACCTGATCATTGAAGTTTTATTCACATACACACTGTTTTAGCGTACACTTATACAAGTCTTCGGTGATAGTTCAATGAAACAAATAAATCAAGTCCCAGGCATATTACAAGGAGTGGTATGGCTTTTTGAATAGGATATTGTGACAGAGCAGAAATATTTGAGTTGGATTTGTCGACTTTGAGCATCTTGACCCAAAATTTTCCTGGACGCATTGAAAGCAACACAAAATAGCCATAATGATTTACTTGTTGAATTGGTGCTCTATCTTAACGGTGCATTATTGCTATTGTTAAACAGTAATTATAGCCATAATTTACATATGAACACATTTGATCACTGAATTTGAGTAAATATATCGAACGTATGAACTGTATTCATCACTAATTATCAGTGAAAAGAAGACTCGCATAAATTTGAATGTACGTACAATTCATTTGCACAAAATCTGCAAATATCATAATAAATTTCGCGAAATGTTGGAGAAAACTGGAGGAAATAAATCAAAAATATTAGTAATAACTTAAAAATATGCAGCAAAAAAATAAAATCAAACTGCAGAAAATAAGTTAAAAATCGTAATTATAGCAATTATATCATATTATCATTAATTATAATATCATTATTCGATAATTTCATATGAAATTGAAAGACAAATCAGTTTTAAAATGATATTTTCACATTGAATGGAAACACACAGAGCTCAGTGATTATCACCAATATTGTTTTGAACAGCAATGTGTTTATTCGTTACAAATCCGGAATATTTTGTTCGTTCGATGCGAAATCATAATGAGAAGATATTGGAGAGGTTCGGATTTGATCGATTGCAGAGAGTTTCATTGATGGAAGGCATTTGCTTGATCGGTATTTGATTGTCGAAGGTGATCGATGAGATGGTCAAGTTGTTCATTCAAAGCATCTGAATAAACGTTTGTCACTAACAAATATCATTCGTAACATCAGCAAACTCATCGAAATCTCTTATATTTATTAAATTGAGTCATAATTTAGTGAATTTTGAATTTCATCAGTGCTCCAATAGCCTTAATTTCAACAGAGCTATTCAATTTTCAGAATTGCCTATCTGAATACAACAGCAATAAAAACGCACCATTAGATAAATCATTCGAAAAATTATCATTTTGTTCGTTCAATTTATCCAAGTTTGTTGATCGGTTTGGATCAGTTATCAGTTTATTTAAAACATTTTTTATTGTTAATATCAAATCGCTGATTATCTGAAAAACTGAATTTTTAATCTGAACAGAATCTGAAAATTGAACAGAATCTCGGAAAGGGTCTCAAAATTCAAAATTGAAGTGCAACTTCGAGAAGTGAAGCAAACCAGTGCAATAGCGAGTGAATTGGATGGATGATCGACTGAAGTATTTAAATACGTGAAAATGGGGTTATCCGTTGAAGAAACGCCTTTTGAATAGAGATGAGAGGATGTGGATGTGAATGTATTAGAGTATCGAAGACGGTGCAAGACGATGTCAAGTGGTGCCAGGAGGAAGTTGAAAAAAATTGAGACGAACGAGCAACGAGTGTGGAGGCAGCGATTTTCGTGAATTGGATAAATATTGATGGATTTGGGTTGAGATGCGAGTGGATCGTTTATGTAAATCCATTTGAATCGTATAATTATGAGTCGATTGCGACAACGATAAGAGCAAATAATATATTGCGAAAAATTCGTTGATATCCGAAAAAGTGGGCAGAACGTTTTGCGTCGAAAATATTCATTTATTCTCATCAAAACATTCAGTTTCAAAATATTGATGGAGCATAAATTTATTAGTATAGCAATCGAACGAATTAGTACGGAGATTAAATGACCTTATGGGAGAGTAGCCCAAAACCTCTGTACTTGCCATATCAATAATTCAAGTTCGGATTTCATGAAGACAGATGATTCCAAACGCTATTATCGTT